ACTATACTGAAATCTGTTTCGTGTTGAAAGGGGACTGGAGTACCTTCGGAGTGTGAAGGGAACCATGATATTTCTTGGTGTTCTTTACTTTCTCCACTTTACCGCTTTCATACCATCATCATATCTCAAGAAAGTAATAAATCAGTCTCTAAAACTAGAAAATTTCAAAGAAGCTAATTCACCCCCCCCCCCTTAGGTGCAACTCAGACTTTCAGACATGAGGAATTTGATAGCTAAAGTGACTTCAGAAGAAGCCAATTCGAAATAGGCAATGGGTGAGTTTGACTTGAGTGACACTGAGAAAAGGTATGGCTGGGTGCAGTGTAGTAGAAAAATTTGTAAGGATGGTTGTAGAAAATGTTTGGAAGCTATGTTGGATATAGTTCCTCATTGTTGTAGAACAAATGTAAAATGGGCAGTGTTGTCTCCTAGTTGTGGGATGGAGATTGAAGATAACAAGTTATACAACCTGCAAACAAGATCTCTTTCTCTGTTTCCAAATCCAGGTAATATCAATTGAGATAGTATAAAAATACCGCATAACTTAAAGATGAAACTTTTTTGTATATCTGCGTTGAATATATGCATTCTATGTAAGGATACTCAGAAGTCACCAACTCAAGCATGCAGATACCAAATGAGTATATGTCAGCTAATTCGTTGTAATTTTGATCATACATTTCAGGTGCCATAAACTCTGGAGTTCCTACCAGAATTTTATACATATAAATATAACTGGTATAGAAATAAGGGTTTTAAAGAGATCAAAATAGAGTTCCTACCAGGATTTTATACATATAAATATAACTCTGGAGTTCCTACCAGGATTTTATACATATAAATATAACTGGCATATAATTTTCATCAACAATTTTCTTGTAGTGATTATTAGCAACAAACAGATCTGTGTGTGAGATCTGTAATAAGGGTTTCAAAGAGATCAAAACCTTCAACTACATAGAAGATGACTTAACCTACCAAGAAAGTTGAAGCAAAGGAAAAACAAATAAGTAATTAAAAAGAAAGCTTATGTTTGTCTAAAGCCTTCATGATAACCATTCAAGAGAGCTTATTTTCATCATAACCCTTCAAGAAATTTTTGGAGATCTTATAGGAGTTAAAAAACACTACAGTAGAAAATATGGTGAGAAAAAGTGAAAATGTGATAAGTTCTCAATGATATATGTTATTCGTTGGGATTGGAAAGCTCACTCTATAGTACTATACTACTTTTATATATCAATTTCAAAGTACACATGAATATTTTCATGTATATTCAAGTTTTATTAAATTGATATACTTTTTCTCATTCTTGATTATTTTTTTACTTTAAATATGTTACTCTTTTTTTATCAATTATTTATATATTCTTACATACATGAAATTAGGGATATATAAATGTCACAACACTAACACCACAGAACTTATATGTCCTTTTGGTTGCCATGTTTAAAATAAAAATTTCAATTTTGGGTTAAGTCATCAAAATAAACAGAAGATTAACTCTCACCTCTTCCAAGGAGGCATTTCCAACCCTTTCACCAATCCCATTAATGGTGACTTCCAACTGCCTGGCACTAGCTCGAGCACCTTGAAAGCAGCCACAATCAAAGAGCATATAAATTCAGAATCCAGCTACAAATGCAAAGTATAGATGAAGACAAAAAAAACAGGAACACCGACCTCAATGATGTTAGCAGTATTCCCTGCCACAATTGCTGCTTTCTCCAAAACCCTACAAAATTGAAAAATATTAAAAACAGAAAAGAATAGTAATCACAACTAGTCTTCACTAACCTGACAGAAACCATTTAGAAGGTTAGACGAAGACGAGCTTAATCTCACCGTAACTGATCGGTGTGTTCAATTCTAGATTCCTCAGGAGTGTCCTCATACAAAGATCCAACATTGTATGGAAGGTCCATCTTCCTTTTCTTCATAGTTGCAACAATAACTTGAAAAATATGGACAATAGGGTTTCCCAAACTCTTCTTGTATCGGTATCGTTTAGTTCCTGATAAGAATACCAAAATGGTTATGATCATAGAAACCGAACATATTCCATACGCCCAACTTCAACTAACTTTGTCTTGTATGTAAACAAGCACTGTCACGGCTGCAAGAGTTCCCAAACCAATGAAGAAGAAAAACCTGTTGAAGAAATAAGTCATTTATGATTTCTCCTTCTCGTCTTTCTCGTCAAACAGATCAGAACCAAATCCTGAAATGCTCGACTTATGTCTGCCTGTTCCTAGTGCAATAAGGTATAGAGCTAAGTATAAGATTCCCATTTGGATTCCATTAGCCGGCTTGCAAACTTCGCCTGCGTGACAAGGTGGTGGACTTAGCCGTGGCAATTTTGTTAAGATTGTTAATTCTGCAGTACCCTGAAATCACCATTCCCTCAAAGCTAAGAACACACACATTGATGCTAATGGAAGCCAAAAAAATGCTCGAGAAAACTCTAGTTTATTTCGGCTAACTATATATGTAACTCAACTAACAAGTGCTTGTATTGCAGCAAAGATTCCAATAGTCTTGAATCTTCCAAGGAAGGAAGCTGCTAAAAAACCACCAAGCAAACAAAGGAGAAACGACGTGCCCATGAAATCGGTCACAATATTGGCTGAAGTTGAGCGTGGATGATGCATGACTCCTATCAGATATGTCACCAAGTTCACTGTAATCTCCATGGTGGAAAGCCTCTCAACAATTTCAATCCCTGTAACAATTTTCGCAGACATGAACAACTTAAGTGTTTATAATATAAGCGCTTCTAAAAAAACTTTGTCCATAATAAAAGCTAAATTAAAATCAAATCATTTTCACATAAATTATATAAGATGTTTTCGGAATCAAAACCAATTACACACAGCCACAAATTACGAAAAGGGGAAAAGGACGTGTTGGTTTGGGAGAAGAGGAGGATTGAATCTTGTATTGAATTTCGTTACGAAGGAGTCTGGAAATGTTTCCTTTGAAAGCTTCTTTTTGCATTTCGGAGATGTAAGTTCTTCGGGAAATGATGTGAGGAATAGGAGAAATGCATACTCATAGTTGTTGAATGTGAATTTGAGGGTTTACGGTTAGGGTTTTTCAGGGCCATTGAACAACAGAATTGCAGGTTTAGAATTAGATGGAAGGGTTTAGGGTTTAAGATAAGCAAGTGAGAATGAATCTATAAATCCCAAAACAAAAGAATATATAATTTGTGTTTCCTTATAAATATGTTTTCTAATTTTATTGTTTAAATAAAAGAGATTAATGTTTTAATGTTTACACCCAAATTAAATCCTTTTTAAAATTTATGCAAATTAATTCATGAAATGATGTGAATTTTAATTCCCAATATATATATATATATATATATATATATATATATATATATATATATATATATATATATATATATATATATATATATATATATATATATATATATATATATATATATATATATATATATATATATATATATATATATATATATATATATATATATATATATATATATATATATATATATATATATATATATATATATATATATATATATATATATATATATATATATATATATATATATATATATATATATATATATATATATATATATATATATATATTAACATTGTTACCAAAATTAATTTTAATAAAAGTTAACTATTTATAAAATAAAACAGAAAATATTTTACTATTATTTTAGACAAAAATATTAAGCTACATTGTTATGAAAATTATAATAATTATAGTAATTATTTATTAAATTAATTAATAAAATTGAAAAGGTTAGAAAATAAAAATGAAAGAAAAAAGTGGAAAATTAAAGGAATAAAAAAAATAGTGATTATGATTGGCTAAAGTAATTGCGACAATTCGCCTTAACTGTCGCGAGTGTGGAAAGAGAGTGGTTCTTTGGTAACTGTCGTATTATTTTATACAACATGCCTAAAAAATTTGCGACGGTTGGCTCAAACCGTCGTGAGAACTGTCGTAGTCTAGGAATAAGGACGTTTTTTTTGATAACTTTCGCAAAAAAACTACGACAGTTGGCCCTAACTGTCGTGACAACCGTCGCAATCCAGGAATAAGGACGGTTTTGTGATAACTGTCGCAACTCAAGTGTCGTAAATCTCCTTTTTTCTTGTAGTGATACGTAGTAAGGAAAATTTTCTCTGGAGAAGCCTTATTACTATCAACTATGTACGGTGAAGATTTTACGTCCCCTGTAAACACAGACGTAGTCAAAAAATATTTTGCCTAAAATAGACCCGGCGAACCATAAAAAGAACAGGTTCGGGAAAAAATTAGGGATAAAAGAAAAATGAATAAACCCGCAAATTTGAAATCCTGAGAAGGCGACTTTGTCAAAAATGAGCATCTTGATGGATCGAAAACCCGCAAGGGCGATCCAGGCAAAAGTTAGAGATTTAAAAGCAAACGGTTGCGGTCTGTGTTTGATCTGTGAATGTGTTTTGATTCTTAATGATCCTGAAGGGTAAAAATCAGACAAATCAGTCTCTTCAGAAGGCATAACATTGGTGAAGCATCAAAGACATGCGGGTCATAATCGAATTGACACATGGTGGTTGTCTGTTTCCACATTGTCGACATTTGTATATTTTATTATTGTACTTTTGCGTAATTTCCTCTTTTCAGGAATTGCATCCGTTGTAATTTGCCTATTTATAGGCCTTTCCAATCAATGAAGTATTTTTCACAAAAGAACTTTCCATTTCCTTTTTTTTTTTTACTTTTAATGTTTTGTTTGCGAAAAAGGCGTCGGATATTTTGATAAACTTTGCATGCGAAAACTTTGGGGGCTTTGCTAATCATATTAAGAACAAGGATTTACTTGAGTGGTGTCATGGATGGTGGCCGAAATAGCTATTTTTGCATACATGACATGCTTTTTGTTTATTTGTCGTTTATAGGATGACTGATCATTTTCCCAGTAGGCTCTCTCCACAGAGTACTGTTTTCAAATCAGAAATATCTCACTAGCAGTGATGTGTACTAATCCCCAGTGGGGTAAGATTGAGATTACTCCCCAGTAGAAGGATAAGCTCAATGTTGTTCCCTGGCAGGATCTATGTCATTGGACTTCTCTCCCCAAGCATAGATTGATGATGATTCCCTCAACGAGTAAGTCATAAATGGTTGACATTTGCAGCAAAGTCCAAAGGTCTTTGGTATTCTTCAAAGTCAGATCTTTGGGATGACTTCCCGAAGGATGTTTTTCCAATTCCCAGCAGAGTGGAAGTTATTTCCATGGAAGCCATCCTGTAGGCCTACCTCAGCGAAGTTTGTTTGTTAATTTTCTTCCCAACACTTATCCCGGTGGTGTTATTTTGCATATCATTTGCGTTGCATCCTCCCAAATACGTAGCATTTCATTTCATATGGAGCATTACGCCATATTCAAACATATGCATATGAATCATAAGCCAAGTTTGATACATTTGTTGCCAGACATCTCTCCAGCAGATAGCGACATGATTCATGGGACTTTGTGATACTTTACCCCCAGCAAAAATCACTGATAGATGTGTTCACCTTGCTTTTACTCCCCGACAGAGTTTGTTTGTTTAAACTTCTCTTTCCCCCAGCGGAGTTTTCATTTCAGGTTGTGAATTAGTTGATTCTACTTCCTGCCTATCCTAGATGTATCCCAACTTTTGGTTGGTAGTATTTTATTCCTTTGATTTTATCCCAACTATTGTTTGGTAGTCCTCTATTGTTCCCCTACGGAGTCGTTATCCCAAATTTTGGTTGGCAATCTTCGTTGTGGTAAGCTCGCCTTCGCTCGGTGTTCTGGTGATCCCAACTTTTGGTGGTATAGCTTTGTTGACGATTCCAACTTTTAGTTGGTAGTCTTCCTTTCCGGTGATCCTAACTTTTGGTTAGTAGCTTTCATCCCAACTTTTGGGTGGTAATCTTCTTCTGTTCCCCGCGGAGTCGTTATCCCAGCTTTTGGTTGGTAGTCTTCATTTTCGGTAAATTTGCATTCAGTCAACTCCATGGTGATTCCAACTTTTGGTTGGAAACTGTTGATATTTGTAAATATATATATATATAATGTTAAGAATATTTGTATATAGAATAGTCCCACATCGACTATATCATGTAATTAGTTGTAATCTATTTATATATAATAATGTCTCTGTAGTGCTTTTCAAAACCCACGGTTTATTCATGTCTCTTAGTCTCTTGTATTTCAACATGGTATCTAGAGCCTACTAAGAGGCAATTCTTTCTTCGCCGTATTTTACCCGGTTGACCTACTGTCTTCCGGTGAGAAATTTTTTTTTGGAAAATCGTGTTGTCACTCCGGTTTGCCTCTCACTTTTCAAAATTCTCCCGTAACCAGTTTTGTAGGATTGAGTTAGGCCCGACGACGTTTTGAAAACCGATTTTGTCGCTGCCCTCCGATCCGGTCGTTGCCCTTTTTCCCGCTGCTGCCCCAGAGCCCCTTTTACTGCTGCTGCCCCACCGCGATGGGCGGCTGATTCCGACCATTTTTCTGCCGATCTACTCACCTCTCCTCACCCATTCTAGATCCGGCCTCTGTTTTACTTTCCGACTCACAGAAAACGGTGTTTTAGTGCAAACAGCCCCGATTTCACTCTGTTTTTTTGTGTCATTACGCTATGGCAGACGCTGATTCTGTCTCGTTTACTAAAGTTCCTCTTATCCCATGTGAAAAACTAACCGGATCAACAAACTATAACATATGGGCTCGTGCTGTCGATATGTGGTTTCGTGGTCAGGGATATGAAGATCATCTAACCACACAATTGACTAATTTTGCCTCCGACAAACTTGCTAAATGGAAGAAAACAGATGCCCCTCTCCTTACCGTGTTATGGTTATCCATAGCACCTAACCTCCAAGCATAGTATCAAGCCTTCTCCACTTGCTATGAAGTTTGGGAAAAGGCCAAGAAAGTCTTCTCCAACGACGTTCATTGTCTATACAGTGTCATCCTCAAACTTGACACACTAAAGATGGAAAATATGGATATGCAAACCTATCTGAGTAAGCTTGATGTCTTGAAAGCAAGTTATGCAACCCTCATGTCGTACGCAAAAGACGCAAAAGCTCATGCCGAAAAACAGAGTGTCTTGTCAGTTAGGGAAACATACTCGTAGTCACTTTTTCGATCGAGTCAATAAACGGGTTGCGTCTCCTTTTTCTTTCGTTCACTCCGATATTTGGGGTCCCTCACGTACTGTGTCTACTTTTGAGTCTAGGTTTTTTGTAACCTTTATTGCTGATTTTTCACGTTGCACATGGCTATTTTTAATGAAGAACATGTCTGAATTGTTTTCTGTTTTTGAACAATTTTATCGAGAAATAAGAACCTAATTTGGTTTATCTTTTCATACCCTAAGAAGTGACAATGCACGTGAATATTTATCCCAACAATTTCAAAAATTTATGTCATCCAATGGTATTTTGCACCAAACATCTTGCTCTCATACACCCCAATAAAACGGGGTAGCCGAAAGCAAAAACCGGCACCTCGTAGAAACCACTCGGACACTACTTTTCCATGGTAATGTTCCTCTCCGGTTTTGGGGAGATGCGGTGCTCACAACATGTT